CATCCATCTATCTACTATCTATCCAGCCATCCACTAGCATCCATCCGCTTATCATCATCTATCTATCTACTATCTCTACTATCTATCCACCTACCTGGCTAGCTAGCTAGCTATCTTGTATGCAGCGGCAAACATAGCTAGAGCTGGCTATCCCTCCCCACCATGTGTTTCCCAGGGATAAAACTCAGATTAGCCTTGGAGCCAAACACCTTTACTGCTGAGCCACCTTGTCTGTTGCCAGCTGCTGTGTTGAGAACAGACTATCCATAAAGATGCTGTTCAATATTCAGGCTGAGATGATGGTAGGCCAGACTTCAACAGTGGCAGGAAGTGGTGGGACAGAGTATCAGCTTAGATTTTTAGTTGCAGGGAGATACTTAAAGATCAACCAAGAGAGGGGAATCAAGATGTCTGGCTCATTAGCAGACAACTCTTTGCTAGCATAGCATGAGTTTACTATGCACAAAGCTCTGAATTCAAATCCTAGCAACCCAAGCTTCCGAAAAGATACTTTCTGTATTGATATGTTTTCTAAGTTATCTAGGTATGATAACAAAATACCTGTACCAGGCTATTTTAAGAAGAAAAAAAAATGTTTATTTAACTCACAGTTAAAACTGAAACTGAAAATGCAAGATCTGGAAGAATAGCTCTTGCAGTCCTTGTGGGTTTTGTAAGACAAGATTAATGAGGAACATAATTCTCAGTTTGGCTTCTGGTTAGTGCTAGTAGCTGGTAACATCATGGTGGGAGTGTGCTTAGGAACAGTGTGGTTGTCTCAACAAATATGAAAACAAAGAGGGCTTCAGGAAGTCAGCTCAGGCTTTTCTAACAACTTGTTCTCATGATAGTTCATGAGATCATTCCTTTATGAGGATGGCTTTCCCCAAGGCCAAAGCAAGTTCCCTCTTGGCTTGTGTGTTAAAGGGAGTTTCCATCATGTCCCACACCACCACACTGGAGACTAGGAAGGAACCCCTTAGGAGACAAGCCACATGCAAGCCCCAGGATCCTTTAAGCTATGAAGAGACATTTCCCATGGACTGGAAGGATTAGTAAAACTGTTAAGCTGTCCACATTAGCCCATGTGACCTAGAGATTCAGTGTAATGCCTTCCACAATTCATTCTTCACAGAAATAGAGGAAAAGTGCTAAAATTCACATGGTGCCAAGAACTTTGCATAGGCTGAAGTATCTTCAGAAAGAACAAAACTAGATGTGCAAACAAAGCCAGATGCGCACCCATTTCAAGTTGTACTCAAGGTTATAATAATCAAAACAGGATGATACTGGTATAAAATGGGGCAGGAAAATAGAATGAGAGCCCAGAAATAAACCCAAGCAGATGTTGTCAACTCATCTTCAATGAAGGCACCAAAAATAGACAATGGAGCAATGAGTCTTTTCAACCCATGGTGTAGAGACAACAACATGCAAAGAAGTGAAACTGAACTCTCATCTTACATGGTATTAGTTATGTGCATGCATGTGTGTGTCTGTGTGGGTATGTGCCTGTGAATGCAGTTTCCTCAGAGGCCAGTAGAGGGCGTCCAGATCCCCTGAAGCTGGAGTTAACAGTTGTCTGACATGGGTGCTGGAAACTGAACTCAGGTTGCTGAGCCGTCTCTCTAGTCCATTAAAACAGATTACAGACAAAAAATGTAAAACCTGACAAAGGGAAACTTGGAGAAGAGGAAAGAGGAGGAGGAGAAAGAGCCCCTTGATGTTAGCCTTGGCAATAGGTATTTGTTTGAGACAGGGTCTCACTGTGTAGCCTTGGCTGGCCTGGAACTCATTGTGTAGACCAGGCTGCTCTCAAATTCATAGAGATCTGCCTGGCCCCAGCTCCTGAGGTAAAAGCGTGATCACTATGTGTAGCTTTTCTTCTCTCCCTCCCACCCCTTTTTGGATATGACAATAAAAGCACATGGTACAAAGACAAAATAAACAGGTGCAAACCCAACTAGACTAAAGGTTCATGAGAATGGAAATGAGATGAAAAGTCACTCTACAGAAGGGAAGAGTTACAAGTCATATTTAATAAAGGGTTCATGTCTAAAATAGTATGCACACAATTCGGTAGCAAAAAGGCTAATTTGCTTGACTTAGTAATGGCAAAAAGACCTGAACTTTTCCAGAGTTGGTCTCCACACGGCCTGCTGGTGTGTTGTAAGGTACTCACCCCCATGGTCAGGAGATATAAACAAGAGCAGGAATGGTTGCCTCACACTTGCTAGGAGGGATGTCTCAGAAAAAGCTAGGACGTGGAGAAGTTAGAACCCTGGTCCCGTCAGCAGTTAAAACGTAAAAGACTTCAAAAGTTAAATAGGCTGGGTATGGTAGCATACATCTTCAATCCCAGCACTCAGAAGCAAAAAACAGACAGACCTCTGTGAGTTTGAGGCCAGCCTGGACTACAAAGCAAAAAAAGAAAGAGAGAGAGAGAGAGATGTCTATGTAAACAATAGAATATAGCTCATTTTAACAACAAAAACTAGACGTTATGGTGCATGCCTATAGCCCCAGGGTTCAGGAGGCTGGGGAGGAAGGAGAGAGGGAGAAGGAAGAAAGAACGGAGACATAAGTGGACATAGGCTGCCATGATCTTGTCGAACTCACACTCAGAGAGCAGAGTGGGGCATAGAGGCCTGAGGACCATACAGTGGGAAGACAGGCCCTGGCAAAGGGTATGAAGCTTCAGCTCTGCAAGATAACTCAATTCCAGACGTCTAACATGTGGCACTGGGATCCCAGGTCATGGTACCGTTGTGTGTGCTTAAAATGTGCTGAAGAGGTAGGTCCTACGTGTCCACAATACTTGCACTCTCACTTGCTCACTCACACACCACACGCGCGTACACACTCACATGCACACACTCATACACTCATCACACACCACAGTGCACACACACACACCACACATGCACTCACATACCCGTGTGCGAGGTCACACACACACTCATACACACTCACAACTCTACTTACACAGCCACAGAACGGAAGTGATGGATATTTTAATTAGCTTGGTTATGGCAGTTATATAAATAACTAGCTCGATTAGGGTGGTTATATGTACACAAGTATGTGTGTGCACCACATGTGAGCCTGATATCCACAGAGGCCAGAAGAGGGCACTGGATCCCCTGAAACCAGGGTTGCAGACAGTCATGAGCTGCCATGTGCATGCTGGGAACCGAAATTGGGTCCTCTGCAAGAGCAGCCAGCGCCATGTCTACAGCCTCGTTTTTGTTTTGTTGCTGTTGTTTTAAGGAGAGATGTTCTTTGAGGTGGAGGACCATGAATTTCCTGAGCAGCTGCCTGGGATGCTGGTGAAGAGACCAGGAGTCCTGTCTGCACTGCCCTTCGGCATCCACAGCGAGATACTGGGTCGGTCAGGTCTGGAGAGAGATGTTTGGAAGGGATGGTTACTTTGTCAGCTCCCCAGGCTGGTGACGCTCAGATGTTGGATTAGACTGTTTCTGGGTGGTCTGTTTGGGTGTTCGCAGGCAGATGAGCGTTTGAACTACCGAGTAAGATGGGTATCCCCCCGCCCTTGGGTGGGCCTTGTCTAACTGGCAGAAGTCCCAAATAGAAGAAGGTGAGGAGGCTTGGATTCCGAGTCCTTCTCCCAGGCTGAGGGCCAGGGCCATCCTCTTGCTCCTGGTTACTAGGCTTTCCACTCTCACTGGTGTCTACCCATTGGCCTTAGCTCCAGCTTCTCTGCCTGCAGTTGATCATGGGACAAGTCACCATGATCACGTTATAATCACCATAACGTCTTCCGATAAAGCTCTCCTGGTGCTTCTCTACCCTGGAAACCCCAGGCAGCTCAGGAAAGCTGGAGCCTGGACCAGAGCCTCAGGGAGCAAGTGCCAGGCAGAAGGCCAGTGGGAACCAGGGATGGGAAGGAGATCCAGGAGAGATGTCTCAGAAGCCATGAAAGCCCGCTGCTGCCATCGCCACAGTACAGAGGGGAGGCGGGAATGGAGAAAGTACAGGGCTCACCTCTCCTAGCCTGGACCCTGGAGCAGCCTCTGAGGGAACATCAGGAGTTGGGCTCTGAGGTAGAACTGCTCCTGGCAGTTACAGGTTCTCTCCTCTGCTGTGGCCTATGCTTGATTATGCCTACCATAGTCCCTTGACTCTTAACTCCTGCCAGGCCTTTTGACAGCTGGTCACTTGCGCTGGGCTTGGTCTGACACGGCGACCCTGCGCTGGGCTCCCACACTCTGCTGACCTCCTGATGGAGACTCGAGCCTCATCTGTTTGTATGTCAGCCTCCCACCAGGCCAGGTGCACTCACGGTTCCCACAAAGGCTCCTTGTTTCTGTGGAAGCTCTTTGTGTGCTTGTGTTTGCACAACGTGGCCCTTTGCCAAGTAGAATGTCCCTGGATTTCCCGAGACCCGAGGCTCTGGGAGGGACCCCACAGCACCTGCCCTACTCACGATATACACCAGGATAAATGCCTGTTGAATTGCGTGGCCAGGAGCCTGGGCTCGGGTCACACTCCCACTGTGGTGTCTCAAGTGGCCTGGACTAGTAAAATGGACAGGCCTGATGACACCTGGGATAGCATCTGGCTGGTGGAGGAGCCTGTTGTCCTGACTTTGTGGTGTAGGGGTTTTCCTTGGCGGCTGATTCATGTGACTGGAGCCGCCTGGAACCTTGATGCTTTCTACTGTAATGCACTGTATTTTACAGGGCTCTAAGGATAAACAGTGTTGTCCTCCTGCAGTAGGGACCTATGGAGTGAGAGGAGCCTGGACTCTGTGGAAACTTAACTCACAAGGGCTCCCAATGACTAAGGACAGCGTGGAGCCACTGACTGGACCTTTTCTGGAAGCCTGTTCCAGGGTGGCTTGGCCTAGAGGGCTGCTTTGCCCAGAGCTGCCATTTCTGCCCACACTGTTCCACTTCTTTGGGGGACAGTGTTCCCTCATCCTCAGGAAAAAAAACCCAGGTTGTCCCTTCCCCTCCTCAGTGACAACACTGGCAGGCTCAGCATGCAAGACAGTTTATTTGCTTTGACTTCTCCACATAATTTTTCTTCACTGGCCAGGGAATGAGAGCTGTGGGAATGACAGGTCGAAGTCAAAGGCACTTTGAATGTTAGAATGGCTTGAAAAGAGGTTGGTCTGAAAGTGAAATGCCTGTTTCAAAGGCTTGCAAAGTCCGTGTCCAGGAAATCTGGCCTCATTCAGCCAGCAACTTCCTGTGCAGGCATCACTGGGCCCAGGCCTTCGACTGTCCCTCCAACCCCCAACATCTTCAGGATCTGGCTGCTAAATCAAGTGGGCTAGGTCACACTGTATCCTGACCTGAACACATGTGAAGTTCTGTGCACATAAGAGTGACACATGTGGCCCAGACAATGGGAAAGGGCGTGCCTGGAGCCTTAGGTAACAGCTCCTAAGGTTAGATGCAGCATGTCTCTATCTGAAGACAGCTGGGCCCAAGCATGACTGTGAGGGCTGGACTCTGTGAGCCTTACAAGACCTCGGACCCCTCCGGGGCCGTGAAGGAAGAGGAAGTGGTGGTCTGCACAGCTGGGGCCTAGGGGCTGTTCAGATCCCTGTGGTCAGAGGGAGTTTTAATGACCTCAAACCCCGAGCCAAGGACAGAGACAGTCTGTGAGAGGAAGCAGGATGTTGGATCCCAGGAGGGCTGTCCCCAAGGCCAAAGCCGTGGGCTCCTCGGCCTCCGCTTCTACCGCTTCTTCTTCGTCTCCTTCTTTGGCCTCTTGTTGGTGGAAGGAGCGGCAGCCTTGGGCTTCTTCGTCACCTCTGCACTTCTAGGCTCACACTGTTCTGCCTCCTGTGTGTTGATTAAAAAAGAGAGTCCTGTTAGAGGAATCCGGATGGACCAAAGGGATTCTGTCAACTGAAGCACGCCACACAACCATAGGCAAGGGCTGTTTCCCAGAGCAGGGTCTGAAAGTACATGGCACCAGGGGGCATCTGGCTCCTTTACCTTCCAGTCCAGTGGCCTGTGGGCATTTCAGTCCCAAGCCTATGTGTAAGATGGGGACAGTGACAAACCTATGGATAAGATGGGGAAGGTGACGTCGCAGGAAGCACCAGCAGGGCTGGTGGCACCGTGGCTGTCAGGATGCCCCATGCTAGGACAGAATTAGTGAGTGTGGGCGGTGGGGGAGGCTGCTGTGGATGGCACTGCTGGTGGTCACGCTCCTCCCCCCATTTGGCCACAGCATTTGGATTGGGGGTGGAGAGCAGCTGGCAGGTGGGCTAAACTGTGCTCTGCAGGGTCTGGCAGAGGTGCCTTGGGGGAGGGCAGAGCCAACCTCAGGCCAGAACCCCAGGTTCTCAGCAACTGGGGCAGCTCTGCTGCCTGTTTCATACCCCATGATCCTCCCTCAGAAGATCTGATTGGGACAAAGGTTTTACTGCTGAGAGAAAAGAAAGTGCAGAGCCACAGATCTAGGTCTGGCCTCACTGTGCTGATAAAGAAGGTAAACCCCAGGAAGGCACAGGCCTGCCCCAGGCCACTCCACTCATTCCAGAGAAGAATCTGGAATGACAGCTATCTGCTGTTCCTCTCATGTGGTGATAACATGAGGAATGCCATGGCCCAAAAGGACACCAAAAGCAAGTTAGCACAGAGGACACCAGCCACAGCCTGTGCTTTGTCTGCAAGCTGCACATGGTCTGCAGTGTTTATTCTTAAAAATCCACACTGGGGTGGGGTGCGGTAGGTTGGGTGTGTGGCATGGTGGCCCAGCAGGGAAAGGTCCAGCAAGCCCAATGGCCTGGGTTTGATCTACAGGCCCCACAGAGTAAGAGAGAACTCACTCCTAAAGACCTCCAAAGGAGGACATGGCATGCATGCCTCCTGCAACAAACAAACACACAAATGCAACAAATAAATGTAATGAAAACAGTGTATACCAGGCTGGTGAGAGGGCTCACTAGGGAACAGCATTTGCCATGTACTTCAATTTCCAGAACCTACATGAAGGTGGAAGGAGAAAACTAACTCTACAATTATCCTCTGACTTACACACACACACACACACACACACACCCCATCCAGAAAAAAACACACTAAGAGTTTTTAAAGACTCAAAATCCATGCATGCCAACTGGGTGACTTCCCATGAGATCTGACTCCCAGCTCCTCCTGGATAGTGCATGCATGCAGCGATGGCAGTTCTGTGTCCCCTCATAGTGGCCACAGCTCAAGAGCACTGCTCTGTGTTCAAGGACAACAGCCTAAGGTGCCAGGGCAGGACAGAGACAGATCCACTTGCCTCGCCTCCTGATACAAGGTCTCACTGGGAATCCCTGGCTAGCTGGAATTCAATATGGGAAAGGTTGTTGTTTGTTTTACCCCTTTGATATAGTTCTTCAAATTGCTGAGCTTTGTTAGTTTTATTTTATGTGTGTCTTGCCTGTATGTCTGTCTGTGTGTCACATGTGTGCTCAGTGCCCATGGAAGTCACAAGAGTGTCGGGTCCCCTAGAACTGGAGTTACAGATGGGCCGTGAGTCACCGTGTGTGTGCTGGGAATTGAACCCAGGTCCTCTGCAAGAGAAGCAAGAGCTCTTAACCACTGAGGAGGCTGGAGCCACCTCTCCAGCCTCCAAACCCCTTGGTCTTTAGTTAAAATAGAAAAACTAAAAAGCAGAGTAAGGCTACATCCTTGCTCTGGAAGACAAAGACGCTCCTCTGTGTTTAATCTCAGATGCCAGGTTTTAGCTTATTTATTTTCTGGTATTACTACAGTCCCCAGGGCCTAGGTGCCTTCCTGCAAGTGGAAGAACTACAGCTCTGGGAAATGGTCCCTACCAAAGGCCAGCCCAGACCCTGCCAAGTCCCCTTCTCAGCCAGAGAGCAGGTATGGAGGCCTGGTGGGAGTTAGCAGAAGGCTGCTTCCCACTCACCAGGTCTCAGGACTGGAGCTCAGCTCCTCTGGCTGCTGGGCCTCCTCCAGCCAGAACTCAATGGTGTCCAAGATGCCTTACACTATTATTTATGTAACTTGGCTAAGAATAAAAAAATAACCAGTTAGAAAAGCAAACAAAACCAAATCTCAGAGGAGTGGCTGTCAACTGCACCCCCACTCCCCCACTGCCACAGTCCCTTGGGCAAACTCATCAGGACGTGATGTCGATGTCACTGGGGGCCTTGGGAGCAGAGAGCTGTGTCTTACAGCACCTGCACACCCTGCGGAAGTCAGCTGTCTCTACGTGCCCTGAGCAGACATATGGCATATGCCAGAAAACCTACTGAGGCCTGCTCTGAGCTCAAGCCTGTAGCAGCTAGGGCTGGTATGGTGGACTAGTGGCTGTCCTGTGCTTCTTCATGCTACAGAGAATCTTCCTGATGCCTCCAGGGACTTTGGGCTCAGAGACAACCCCGCCCCGCGGCGCCCCCCCCCCCCCCCGTGCTGCCCCATTCGTCTATACACCAGATAACTAGCATGGGCATGCCCCATGCCCTTCCAACTCAACCCTCCCAGCTCGCATGGCATCTTTTCTACAAGCCCAGCCTTCCTCCAGCAGGAAGTGACCAGGGTCCCAGTGGTCTACCTTCTACTGTTCTGCAACAGGTCTCAAAGCCTGCTGACTCAACCTTCCCTCCATCTTGACTCAGCCACTCGCTAGCATCTGAACCCCTCCTTCCATCCAGACACTACCCCTGCCCTGCCTGCTGCCTCTGCCAAACAAGGTGCCCAAGATGCAGGTCTCACCACTGCTCTCCGCCCTCAGCCTCCCCAAGAGCTTTCTACCACCCTCAGCCTCTTATCCCATACCTGGGAAGGCAGTTAAGGCAGCCTCCCAGCACCACACTGGTCAGGCTGCAGGGCCTCCCAGCCAGCTGTACTAACAGGAGCACCCTCTGTCCTTGCCCAGATCCACACCCTGTGGCTTGGGCACTCTTAAGAACATACTCCAGGGCTGGAGGGACGGCTCAGTGGTTAAGAAAACTTGCTGCTCTTACAGAGGACCCAGGTTCAGTTCCCAGCATCCATGTGACTGACAGTCTACATTCACCTCTAACTCTAGCTCCAGGCAGCCTGACACACTTTTCTGGCCTTTAAAGGGTGCACTTACATACATGCAAGGAAACCACTCATACACATAAAGTTAAAAAAATAAAAACAAATCCCACTTACGACTGCCTAGCCTCCTTTCTTTACAGAGTGTCCAGACACCTTCCAACACCACCAACACTCTACCACAGAGACACGTATACTGTGTGTGACGTGTGCATGGGCACGTGTTCATAGACATGCATATGTAGGTACGTGTGTACATGTGTGTGGATGCCAGAGGCTGATGTTGAACGTCTCCTTTCACTGCTCTCTACCTTTAAAGTGACACGTCCTCGCGCCTATCTTACCCGGCTAGCCATCTTCAGGGCAGCGTCAGCGGCTTGAACAAGTTGGTGAATGCAGTGAAGGAGCAGGCAGAGACGAGCCTCTTGTCTATCACGGACAACACTGAAGATGAGGCCTCACGCTTCCGATAAGCTAAGGGGCGCAGCCATTTTAAAATCAACTACGTGCAGCCCCCAGCCCTGCTCAGCTTCTCCACCGGTCACACTACCGCCACACCAGCCCAACACTGCCTGGTGGCGAGCATGTCAGGTCCCGTGTCATTCGTCTAGACAAAGTGCCCCAGGATGGAGCTCAGGTGATAAACAAAGGGACGAACACCTGGGCTGGCCCCAGCTCTGTCTGGTGAGCAGCAGAGCCAGAGTCTGTGTCTCTCAGTGTTTCACTGCTAACTATAACATCTATTTTCTACACTTAGCATCCCCTAGAGCCCCATGCCAGAATGACGAAGTGGTCTGTTCTGGACTCTGTCCCCTCCTTGTGACCAGTGGTCCTGGAGGAGTCAGGCAAGCAGGTTAGCGGCGTAGCTGTGTTCGCTCTGTGCAGCTGACTCGGTCCTCTGTGGGTGTGCACACCACAGGTATCATGCCTGAACACGGTAACTGTTTCCCTCTCTACCCACCCCACCTCAGCTTTTGGCACTGCCATCCATCCAGCTGCCCAAGTCATTTCTAAGCTTTCACTGGTCCCTCATACCCCCACATCAACCTGTTCCCAAGGCCTGTTTACTCTACTTTCCAGGAGGTTCTAGGTTTGCTCATCCCAACCACATGCGCAGCCACTGCCCGTTTGGACTCATGGTGTCTGGCCACTCCTGGTTTGCACCCTTCCCTTGCACCCTCCATTCTCTTTATCCCCCGCACTGCTTCTAGACGTTTGTCTTAAAATGTGGACAACGGTCATGACTGTGCCTGTTTCCAGATTTAGAATGTCTAAGATGACTTCCAGCCTTGGCCTTGACTCCAGGCAGGCCCCTCTCACTCTAGGCCACTGGCCTTGTGTCCTAGCATCCACTCATGGCACAGGTGCTTACCACGCATTTATGTGTGCCCAGTACAGGCAGCACTGTGCTCACCACAGGGCGCTGCAGAAGGCCCAGCATATATTCAGTCATTTGCTCACTGGGCCTGTGAGGAGGAGGCAGCCACTGGAGCCACATTTACTGGCAGGGAAGCCAAAGCTCTGGCACAGGGGACTTTTAGAAAAGCTACAGGAAAGCAAAGGTGGCTGTCATAGTGTGATTTGGGTCCTCAGGTCCTAGCATGACAAGGCTAGTTTTCACTCTCAGCTGACAGGAATAACTGAACAAGGGAGTGACTTAACTTCTCTTCAGATGTGTGTGGCTAGAACAAGCCAGGGAAGAGCAAGAAGACTACACACTCGACAGCCTCACCTTTAAGTCTGGGGGGGGGCCGCACCTCATCTGAAGCAAGTGAGGGAAAAAAAAAAAGACATGT